AAATGTCATGTTTGTATTAAATTCTCTATATTTTACCATTTGATCATAAAGTATGATTGTACGTGTTCAGAAATGTGCTTTAACTTGTATCTCCACTCATTTGAAAATGAACAGCAATAGTTATATACAAAACATATACGTGCAATCCATCTACTCACATGCACTGATACATAAATATATACACATAAAACACAGTGAGAGCAGTGGGAAATAAAACTGTCTTTGTTGAGGCATTTAGAGTCTAGTCTCAGTTTCCTCTTTAATGTGGGTTAGATTGTACACTTCCTGTCTGATACTGGTAACGCTTTTTGGTTTGTAGCAGTGAGAGGCGTCCAACTGCTGCCTGCTTAAATCTGTCAGAGTCATATTTGTAGCACTGACAACACATAAACCCTATTTATTAAAAAAAACAAATTAGTAGCCTACAATATGTACTGATTGTATGATGATGGTAAACGTGTTACTCAACACCACACTTGTTATTTTTGAACTAGTTAAATATTTATCAGTGGCTTGTCATACTTACTTTTGCCTTAACATAGTTCGAAAGCCAAGGAAACACTATTTTTTCATCCAGGAATATTTTCACTTCTGTCACTGTACATGTTCCTTCTTAGAAAATAGGAGTAAAAAAGATCATACTGGCTACTTATTTAATATTTATTTTATTTTTCCCTAAAACTTGTAAGTACTGTATTGTAATAAAGAGTATATAGTATAACATAGAGAAACACTTGGTGCTTTGATGATTCTGCTGGTGAGTAGATGCAGTTGGATGACTATGTACACACACTGTAGTTTTGATGTTCGTATAAAAATTAAAAATGTTCAGAAAGTTACTCTGTGGTCTACAGTTCATATTAATGCAAATTCTTTTTTTTTCATTAAATCCACGCTATGTTAAATAAAAGTTAAAATACACAGAAACAACAGGAGGTGCATCCTCAGTGTTTGTGGTCAGTTAAAAATGGAGTTCAGTGTCTGCAGGAACCTCTGAGGCTGTCGTCGTCGTCTGTGGTGGGTGAGGTGATGGCGGAGGAGGCCAGAAGTCCTGCGGGTGTCATTCAGTGAGGAGGCGCCAGAGGCAGCATTATTGGATACATCTCGTAGGCAGGCAGGGAGCCCGCTGGCCAAAGGCTTGTAAACTTGGGGTCAAACTGCATGGAAGTGAAGTTCAAAGTAAGTCAGTGTTTTTAGTCATATAACACGATGCATTTAAAATTGTTAAAATTTTCATCCCAGTGTTTTATACTTGAGATTGGAATCAAACCTCTGATTTAAGTTTGGGAAGAAGGAGAAAAAGGTGGATTTTTATGCCTCTGTTGTGAACATGATATCTCAAGATGACCGTGAGGGAATTTCTTCACTTGGGACTCAAAGATAAACTGATTAGATTTTAGAAGTTAAAGGTCAAGGTCATGGTGACTTCATGTCCTTGTGAATGTGATAAATCAGGAACATCCGACTGGCACAAGCATTCACTTGGACTCAAGGATGACCTGATTACAATTTGGAGGTCAAGGTCACTGTGATCTCACAAATCCTTTTTTGCCTCGTGAAAATGTTTTCTTAGGAACACCTTGAAAGGATCATTTCACATTTGTCACAAATGCTCATTTAGACAGATGAATCCATCAGACTTCTGAGGTCAAACCTCACGGTGACCTCATGAGTCTGACAGATAAATGTATTTGACTTTCCCAGGGGAGGCGTACAACCAAACTGCGGCAATTCTAGTTGATGTACAATAGATCTGATTGTAGAATTGTTGCTCATTTCCAGAATCATATTGTTCTTTCAAAGCTAATTAAGACTTTTAAATGAATGTGTGACTCAGTCTTAATACCAATGTTGATTTTTGTGCGACACAATATAAAGAATGACAGAGATAAAAGATTCTCCCATGTGAACAACAGGTCAGATAAATCTTTGTGCTGCGAGCCAAAGACAGTGACTAACGCACCAGTGAGTATGGAGGTGGGTGATCCAAGCTGCTGTAGGGAGGAGGATATCTGTCATAATGTCTGTCCTCTTCGTCTTCTGAAGAAGCTATATGCTGCACGGCAGCAGGGTTGTTATCCTGTGTCGTCGGTGTGGTGACATCATACGCTGCTCTTTTCTTTTTTGCATGAAGATAGAAGCAGAGGAGTACCACAGCTATGGACACCACCAAGACTGGGAATCTAGAGAAATGATTCAATCATTTTCAAGGCTTTTCAAGTCAGTAAATCCCCTCCTGCATTTAGAGACTCATCTTTCATTTTCTTTCATTACTTACATATATTGAAAGATATTCAGTACCTCAGTCATGTCTGGGATTATGTCAATATGCTGACATTACTGGGGACAAAAAGGAATCGGATTAGTTTTTTTTCATCTTGGTTCAAATCCACAAAGCAATCATGTGGAGCCCCATCAATTTATGGTTTGACTGATAAAATTGGCCGATATGAGCTTTAAACAGACATATCTGTGTTGGTTTTGTTTGGTGATATGAAAACCTATTTTACATAACAATGCAGAAAAGATGCATTTATGTTTACATCTGACATAAAAGTATTTTTTATTTATGTTACTAAAAATGATTTTTTGTTAAACTGATAGTTCTTTAATGGGGAACTATCTGTAATATATATATATATAATGTATATTTTGATATCGCCTCCAAAAATGCACATAGATCTGATACTGCAATTATGTTTAAATGTGATTAAATTAGTTTTGTAGTTATAAACAAGCCACTATAATTTGTGTCAGATTGTAGCTAATGAATTTTTTTTTAAAAGACAATCAGTGGATCAGTCACTGAATATCACATGTCAGCATTTACATGAAGCTAACAGAAACAAACATTTGAGTTTAAAAAACCAAACAGTGACAGGGTTCTGACCTGTAACAACCCCTCTGCGTTTCAGGAACAATTTCTAAAACCACTGAAAGCGGCTCAGCAGTGTTCAACAGGCCAGGTTAGAACAGTTTGTTAGCGGCAGGTAAAGTAACATAAGGACAGTGGACCTTCATCCTATAAATCTGCTGCTCACGACAACTTTTATTTAAAACATCTGTGAATCCACGTTATTCAAACAAATCTATCTGATGACGCAGAATTAAATGGTAACTGAATTCTAACGTTTTTACAGTGTAATGATCCTTACCTTATTTAAGGAACCGAAAACATAGAAAATCTGTGCTGACCTGTGGGTCGCTAGCAAAGGATAATGTGTCACTTATGGGGAAGTGAACATGAGGAGGTTTTACAGCATTCTTTTATTGTTTAAAGACACAGGACTCACTGGTGCGCTCCGCATCTCACATATTTTTATGTTGAGTGACATCATTCACTATTTACTGAGCTCAGAGTTCATCTGTTAGACCACTATAGATGTGTCTGATAGATAGCAAACAAATTATATATTCCACCTAAGTAGTGATGACTGAATTCTTACCTTTATTTTTTTAACTTTATTCATTAAAATATAAATTACTTAATCTTGTACAATATATACATTTTGTAGCCCCAGTATTATTAAAACACGTTGATTAGTGCAATTAGTTATTATTTCCTCCTACCTCTGTCAAAACATACATTTATATAATGTACAAAAGGCACAGGTACAAACATTTAATTTACTAAAGACACAGCAAATTTATTCTATAAACATAAGTCCCAAGTAAAACATATAACCACATATATGCACTGAAGGTTACTGTAACCTGTAAGGGCTCAAATAAGGTTGAAAATGATTTAGATTTTAGAAATGTTCGGATAGACTTTCAAAATCTGTCTTAGCATAGCAGCACCAGAGAATGCAAAGACATTTGCAGTTCTAGAGCAAAGTTGTGAATGTGTGCTAAAAATAATTTGAGTTAAAAGTTACAGGAAAAAAAACCCCTCTGCTTTTTAAACATCTGGGTACAGATGTAAAGCAGAAAGTACATTTACAATATGCAAAACTCGAATCCCAGCCCCATGTGATTTCGTTTTTAATAGCAATGAAATGAAATTGTACCTGTGTCTGTTTTACTTTCAGTCTGCTTTGAGTAACTTTTGATTTTCTATGCACGTTCACAGTCTTGATGCACATTTACAAATGCTCATATTCACGTTTTTAAATTATTCATGAGCTTCATCTCACAAGCTCAGACTTCTATTGATCCTTCAATTCCATAAGGTTGCCCTGTAATCAAAAAAAAAGTAAGTCGTGTTCAGACTGTAGAGAGGGTTTAAAGTGCAGGAGGTGGAGGGCGAGGAGGAGCAGAGCTGCTCTGAGGATGCTGGAGGGTCTGCGTGTGGCGGCGGTGGGTCTGGGTACGACGGGGGTTCGAGCTGAAGAGGAGAAGTGAATACGTTTGATTAGAGAGTGAGAGAACTTGAAGGCCGCCATGTCTACTGGCCCAGATTAGAAAAACTAAACACTTTTTGAGTTTTTATGACTACTGAATACTACAACAGGTTCTCCTTCATGCTTGGAAGGGGAGGGTGAGGTGAGGGGTATTCAGCTACAACATGCAACTTCACCACTAGATGTCACTAAATTCTACACACTGAACCTTTAAAGAAATGAGGAGAACAGGACCCAAACAGTGCTGCACCCTGCACGGAGGCAGACTGACATGTACTCAGACAGAGAGTTACTGGGACTCGGGGGGGCCAGCCCTTGCTTTCTCTGCGTTTCTTTGCAAAATGACAACAATCCACAGAGCGACACCAAAGCACATGGGAATCCTGAAATAAAAGAACAGCTTAAATACCATAATAACATGCATTCAATGAAGTAAACAGAATTAATTTAATTTCACTAAATCTAATACTTACTCAACAGAAGAATATTAAAGGACTGTGGCAGTTTTATTTTCTGAATATGGTTTTTAGATCTGATTTTAAATCTGAAGATTATGAATCTTTGTTTGTCAGCGTTGCTCTGTTTGGATCCTCACATCACACGACATTAACAGATTGACATAATGACTGTTTGTGTGAAAATAGCACAAAACTGTAATTTTCATGTGACAAGCCGTAGATTTTATTCTCACAATGACAACTTTGTCTGCATTCTGGAAACACAACTGTTGGAAGATAAAGCTTTTTAGTTTTTATTAGCTGTTGCAAACATATACGATTATAGATTTAAACTTTTGAAAGATAAACACGTCAGTAAAATAAAACAGTAGCAAGACATTTCCTCTGCATTGTTGATGAATATAAAATAGGCCTTGTGTGATCAGGCTTGTCGATACTGTACACAATAAAGTACAGTACAGCAAATGAGTTAATAAGTTGTCCCTGACTATTGTGATATTTTCCATGCTGAAAATGAAGCTTACCTTCAAGTGGCAGCCGTGTAGCGCGGCTCAAGCAGAGTGCTGACTTGCAACACACATTTTATAGCCTCATTGACCTGTTTAAAGAGGCACCTGACGTAAACAACTTCCCATCACTGACAGTGCTCACCACACAGCAGAGTGACAGTGTAAAAGTCCGCCAGCTTTTGATATCACTGAAACTGATGAAGAAATATTGTAATAACACAAAGACGTAAAGGAAGGGAAATCACATTACAGGACACAAAAAACTGATAACACGAAAATGCAAGAATCCTTGTTTGAGCTTGTTTCTCAGGAATGCAGTGCAGGGGCTGTTGAAACACGCTCAGCAGAGCAGCGTTCAACGCAGCAGTGTGTCAGTGCTAAGGAGGATTTTCAGGCCCAGGAAAAAATATATAATTTGAGGTTCATTTTGTGCTGTTCAACACAGATGAAACAGCTCGAGGTCAAACCGACACACAGACTGTTTCCAGCTTTTATTTGCACATGATGTCGATGTCAAAACAGGCCTGAAAATATGTTTTACACTTTCATCTGATGGCAAAGACCCAGCATGTCTGCTCAGACTTGTTACCTGCTTTACTCTCGCAAAAGTGAAACCATCCAACATCATGACCCATATTGTGTGTTAATGTAGGGGAGGGGGAGGTGGTGGAGGAGGTGGTGGAGGAGGAGGTGGGAGAGACGCAGCTCCTGACATTGGAGGAGGAGGAGGCGGAGGGGGAAGAGGTCCAGCTCCTGACGATGGCGGAGGCGGGGGCGGAGGAGGGAGGGCAGCGCCCCCTGACACGGGCGCGGGAGGTGGAGGAGGTGGGTAGGCTGCGTTCGACAAGCCAATAGTCGGCGGAGGGGGAGGCGGGGGCAGACATGTGGGTGAGGTCATGGGGGGCGGAGGGGGGAGGCTGTCGTCCATGGAGGAAGAGAAGGGCGGCGGGGCAGGCAGGCCGGGGTCTAGGCCACCGGCCGGGGGAGGAGCAGGGGGCAGGCTGACGTTGGAGGGGTTGGTGGCGGTTGGCAAGGTGGGGACTGACGGTGGAGGCACGGCGATGCCGAGACTGGTTCTGTAAAAAAGACAAAAAGAAAATAGACCCTCAGCTACTGTGAGCAATAATAACATCCTGTAGATTCTTAGAGGAATAGTTCAACGTTTCACCTGACTGGACTGTTAACAGGCCAGTGAATGAACACACATATGGTCTGTATGGACGAGTATGGGCCTTCTGAACCTACTAGTAGGCAGAGGTTGGAAGCAACAAAGTACAAATACTTTTCAGGTATTCAGGTTATTTACTTGCTGCCCCTCAGCTGAATGTTACAGACAGTTTCCTGTAGCTGTGAGTGCGACTGACTCAGACAATCTCCTGCTGCCTTCTTCATGGGTGAAAACCAAAAAATGTACAGACCCAATTTCCTGGACATTTTCTGGAATTCATATCCGAAAACAGCTTAAAAAAAACATAAATTGTCGAACTATTTCTGCAGAACCAAATAGAAAGTAATGTTAGATATTATCCCCATATAACACTTATCTGTAATGAGTTTAATTATAATTAGTGTTGTTATTAAACTGTGGACTGTGTCTACGTACACAGAGATGTCTGCAGTGCTCAGTATGCTGTCTGCTCTCTTTCTGGGCTGCTCCTCAAAGACCTGAGGGGAGAAGATGATGAAGATGAAGAACGAATGGGGTAAATGCTATGTTCAATTTTCTCACTCAATGTAATCTCCGATTTACCTTAAAACTGTGTCCAATAGAGTCCAAGACAGAGTAGGATATTGGCACCCTTGAGTAGCTCCTCTCTGGCTCCTTGCCTAAAGGCGGCAGAGCCATCAGCCTGGAGCGACTCCTCTCTTTGGCTGTAGTATAAACACCAATCTCTCTCCTCGACACCTTCTCAAAGTGGATAGCTGCAGCCTGGAGCAGAGCACAGGGAGAACCAGCCTCAGTCTACAACACGGGCAGATTAATTTTCTTTCAAAATGCATATAAAGTTACTGCATGGACAAAAATGTAACAAGTTGCTGACGTGAAACAGAGCAAGAGAACTGAGCACAGATTAAAAAGTTATGAAAAATATACAGTAAAACAATTTTTTTCTCAATTTATTTACATGCAACTAATTAAAGACCTTAAATAAAATGTATTTAATGCCATAAAGTTACTTTTAACTCTTTCTTGCAAAAAGTCTTACTTGTTCATCCATTATTGACTCCCACGGCCAATTTTTTCAGGAGTAACTTTGCAGAGCTCAGTTGTAGTGTTACTACATAATTGGCCTGATTGTGTGCAACTGACCAAAGGCGTCATTTGTAGTTTAGGAAGTAGATTTGTTGGTTTAGTGTTTTATTTATTCAGAGTCTTTTTCAATTCTGTGTAAAGATTCATCAATTTTGAATAATCATTTATTTTTAGACCACTCACTCTTTCCTGTTCTTGTAGATCAATTTAGAAATAGTGACTGCAAGACCATCGTCTCTGTGAATTCATAATTTGGTAGTTTGAGTATTGAACATCGTCACGTCGTTTGTATGGGTACTCAGATAAATACATGCGTAGTCAACAAGTGCTACTGTATGTGGTTTTAATTTTTAAAGTAAGTAGAGAGCACACCTGACAAGGCCAAACAGTTCCTCTATAAAACCACATGTAGATGCTCTAGATCCGCATTTTATCTGGATCTGCACCAATTGTACGAACTAATAAATGTTTTATTAAAATCATTTAAGAAAGTGAGAAAAAAATCTTTGCTCTGCCCTCTGAGCCGCACCAAAAGTGTTTTCTTGTTCTTCCCTGATAATCTGAAGAGTGGTTTGATTCTATTTAACAAAGAAACAAACAAAAATGACACTCAGTGGAGTGCATACCTCCACCAAGGTCCAATAGGCCACTTTAAATCAATCAAGCTGCATCAAATTCCATACACTGACACCAGTTCCCTGAATAATCCAGATTTTTCCCATCAAGATCCATGAATTATTCCCAGAAAAATTTACAAAAATGTTGCAAAATCTTGCAAGGAAGTGAACATTTCCTTGATCCTTCCCCAGATCCAGATCCACACCAGAATTAAATGACTTCTTCCTCCACCGTCACCTGTCCAGTAGTTTTTGCATAATCCTGCTGACAGACAGACTGAAGAAGAAAGCATAGAACGGGTGCCCCTTTTATCACTTGAGCACCTGGCCCCTAAAACAACTGTGAAGGGCCCTGGTGCTTGCAGGTGAAAGGTGTTGCTCACCAGTGACAGCAGGTTGACTGAGGACTCCATAGCTTTGATCTGCATGGCCTGAGAGTCCAGCAGCCTCAGCACGGTGGTGGCCAGACTGTTGATCTGGTAGGTGACACTGGCCAGAGCCTGGGCGGCCAAAGCCTTGGACTCATTTATAGCCTTGGCCTGATCCTCTGCCTGCAGAATACAAAACCACACAGGACAGGTTGTAAAATAGAGAAAATATTTTAAAACTAAATGAAGTTCTGACGATGAAGCAGCAGCGAAGTTGTCATGTTGTCCACTCACCTGGAGGTAACTGCTCTCGCAGTAGTCCGCCACTTGCAGGAGGTTGCTGTGGTTGTCAACAAGGTGTTTCCTCGCGTCTGGCGCAGTTTGTAGTATCTGACTAATGACTTCAGAAAACTTCTTCTGCTCCGTCATTTCTCCCGTCATGGCCGCAGCTGGTGTTTAAAGCCTTTCGGAGCCGATTTCGCAGATCGAATTCACCGTTTACCTGCGGCGAGGGAGTTGCAGAGAGTCGCTGGAAGAGGTGGGAGGGGGGTGAACGCGGAATTTCCGCAGGGTAAAGATTTTTCAGCAGCTGGAGGGAGGGCAGGGCTGCACAAGGTGGACGTGCACTGAGACTACTGCAACATCTGTCTGATGATGAAGATGATGGTGAAGATGTCTTACACAATGTTCTTTGACACTGACAATAACATGATTCATACAATATATTGTATGAAATCAGGAGAGTGTCTGACAGGCACGATTTATAACATCCACTAGAGGGCAGTGCTGTGCAGGGAAACGCACGCTCTCCATGCTCTATGCACTCTGGTTGTTGTTCTTGATGATGGCGATTTATTACATAATGTTACAGTCTATTGTTAGACACAGATTCATTATATAAATATTATAAATGATCAATTCTTCAGTCGTATACCAGGAGAGTGTATTGCAGCCTTGTGTACTATTTATAATATCCACTAGAGGGCAGTGTGCTGCACAGAGGCGCACATCTCTCAATGCTCTCTGGGGTATCTGCTGCTGCTGCTGATGATGATGATTGTTATAACCCAGAGTCACAATTTGAAAATCTATCTGTGTCTTTTGTTGTTGCTGTTCTCCCTCCCTGACTGAAGGTGGTGTCGTTGAGCTGGCCTCTGCTCTCTTCCAGTCGGTGGCTTGAGTCAGGCAGCGGTTGTGGATTGGATGGTGGTGACGAACAGGGAACACTGACTGGTAATGTTCAGCATCAGTTAAACTCAGCAGCAGCTGGTCATAGGTGATGTTTTACGTGTGATTACAAAATGTGTTGTGTTGTCCAGGATATCATGTGAAAACAGCTCAGGGCATCCTCGACTGTGTGTGTGTGTGTGTGCGTGTTTGTGAGTGTGAATGCAGTCCACAAAGTGCACATGGGCCTGATTCCAGTTTTCCAATTGTCCACTTGTTACGAACGCAGACTGTATATAAAGATGTACGATGCATCTCCACTTCCTCTCACTATCCAGATATGAAGCCAAAATATCCAAGATACGAGCGCCGCCATCTTGTGCATGTGGAGCCTGAGCAGTAGCGACCCACCGATAAGTCAGCAGTCGTGAGTCAGTCTCACCCCATTTTTATGGCATCGAATAAATAATTAAAACCAAACTTTCTAGAAAAAGATAATACCTGAACATACATTATTGTGATTTAAAGTAAATACTTTGACCTTTTAGTTTGGATCATATCTCATCCACTAACATGGATGAGGCAGAATGTATGTACCGTACTGTAGCCAGCTACCAGGCAGCGATCGAGACGCTGTGTATTTCACTCTGGGGGATGTGTCTTGTTGTCCATCTTTATTTACAATTGTGACCAAGTACCTGAAAAAATACATTCAAACGTTTTCTCTCCAGTTCTGCCTTTTTTTGGTGAAATTCGTCTGTTTCTTCCTCCATTAAATGTCAGCGTTGCCAAATATCCAAATATTGGGCAAACCAAGTCGTGCTGATCTTTTACCCTTTTATTATATGACTAATTAGAAAATGATTAGCTCGTGTTCAATTAAAGCTCTGATAAAAGTTTACTTAGACTTTGAGAGGGATCCAAGCTTTCCTTCAGCCTGGGTGTGACTGATTCTGCTTCAGTACACGAAGTTCAGTTGACATAATCAGCAGGATCTTCGTCTATTGATAGGGGATAAAAGATTTTATTTCTTTATTGAAAATTCCTTTTCTCTGTGCTCAGCGCCACCTGGAGTCATATCTTGTTTATATATTAACAATCAATTTCCCACTCAGGTGTTTTCACGTCTGGAAAACGTGAATCGCTATTGCCTTTTGCTTTAGTTTAACAAACCCTATACTTTCTGGAATGAAGAAATTGATTAAAAGATAATAGATTCAGATTCATTTTTATTACATAAATTCTGTATCTGGTGTTTTATTTAATATTCATATTGTATATTATGCAGCGTTAGACTTCTGCTGTAGTCCCTGGCAATGACAAGTAGCTCCTTGTTCTGCATGATTTAATGCATAATGTATACTCACACAGAGACTAGTGGGATTCAACACACTCTCCACACATGGCCTGATGATATGAAATAGAGTAGAGACACCCGCTGTAGCTAAGGAAAGTCTCCAGTAATAAACAAATTAATTATGTTTATCCTGAACCGGATATTTTATTGCTGCCCCCCCTCCTACTGCATGCACATCAGTCAAGGACGGCATGAACAGCACGTTGCTGTTTTATGGTGTTGTTTACACAGCTGACCCATCCATGTATGTATGAACCCAGCTGTGATCTGCTTGTAGGGAAACGTGACTTCACCATCAATTATATTTAGTGGAAGATTTGGTGGAAATTATTCTTTTTCAGTCATGTGAAATATCAAACAGGCAGCCTTGTTGTAAAAGTATTGAAGACAAACTGTGGCTAATTTGACAGTTTTAAAATAT